TACCTTCAAAGTATTTGTAATTGAAATTTATGCAAAACTGTCATGCTCCAGTTCCTTGTTTACATCTGATATAGTTCTGGAGTGAAATTATTCTTTCTACCTAAAATTATGAGAATCATGTTTCTGTTTGCTTTTAAAATCCATTCTTCCTGTATATGTGGGAGGAAATCGAAACTACATGTTTTTTTTTTCCATGAACATCAGAGAAATAAAAATTTCATTGAGAGTTGAAGGAGGACATTTTGACAGTTAATTATTCCTGAAACGAGGTAAATGGGAAGTGGCTGAATCCCCTAAAGCCAGCGTGCTTAGATCTGTTCTTACTCCAGTTTGATGTGGCAGAGCCTTGCAGTGAGACAGAGTGGTGGGTGTTTCTGCTTTGGTCTGTGGCTCGTGAAAGTTGATAAGGAACAGGACTGCCCCTGGCTGCACAGTGTGAAGGCCCACCTGGAGGTCAGAGGGGCCATGCGGGGTCACGGGATTCTTGCCAGAGGATAGGTTTCCATCGAAGCCTCTTACTTATGATTGTGTTACAACTTCATGTCAATTTGTCAGCACTACCTCTGCTGCATTTAAAATCCCCCTTTTCAGGCAGTTTGGCTCACTTTCCATGTTTTGTACAGTTAGCATTTTGTAAACAAGGAATGAATTTCCTGGAAAATCAGCTTTGAAAGGCCATACAAAATGCTGACAGCTTGATTTGAGTAAGAGTATATGAAAAATAGCTTTCTTCCCTTTTGCACGTGACATATGACACACGTGAGGTCTCGTTCTGGAATGCACAGTGGTCATCATGAGGCTACCATCTCCGAGGGCCAGGTGTTGGGCAACGAGCAGGGAATTCGAGTTAGCAGAATTTAGGCCATCTGGAAATGTCTCTAAGTTGTCTATGTTAGTCTGAGTTGACTAGAAAAACAAATCCATAGACACTCATGTATATAAGAAAGACCTTTATGTAAAAGAGCAATTGTATATTGAGAAAACATCCCAGCCCAGTCCAGATCAAGTCCATATGTCCAATATCAGTCCATAAATTCCTTAGACTCACACAGCACATGCAATGATGCCAAATGCAGGAAGATCACAGGCCAGTGGGTGGCAGGTCTTGTGGATCCAGTGGCAGTGGAAGCACCGCACCGTGGGCACAGCCTCCACATGTCTCCTCCAGCTCTCTGAGTGTCTCCACAGCAGGAAAGGCACAGACTGCGGCTGGCCTCCGTCACACCTCCAGATGAGGCCATCAAGCTGTGGCCTGATGGGCAGTCTGGACCCCACCCCGCCCCTCACAGTGACAGGAGATTATGTAGCTACCACATTGTCAGGACAAAGTTCTGAGGGGAGTGTCAGATACTTTCCCTAGACATCTAAAAGGGTGTTCACTGCTGGCCCGTCCAACAGGGCAGGGTTTTGTGACCTTCAGGATTTTCATTGGCTAGTTTTTTGTAGGTAGATCATGAAGCCTTCCTAATCTACCTTAGTCTAGAAGCAACACTGACACCCTTTTTTAGCGTCATTAAAAAAGTAAAAGACAAATTGAGTCCATTCATACTCTACAGTACAGGATATAGTAGAACTGCCCCTGTGGGTTTTCATGGCTGTCAGTCTTTACCGGTGTAGAAAGCCGCATCTTTCACCCATGGAAAGGCTTAGCACCCTAGCAACCTGCAAGCCCCTGGTCACCACAGCCAAGTGGTGGCTGCACGTGAGGTGCCCGGGCTGGGATTCTAGCCCGAGTTTCCATGCGGAGGCAGAATTGTAGCCCTGAACCACCACTGCCCCTGAGGAATAGCCAATGCTGGCCTATTTGTGTATGATGGTGTAGACTGATTTACCATGTGGAATGATGAGATTGGGTTGGCCCTGCCCTTATTTGTTCCAGCTCATTCGTTTTCCTGGTCAAGTATTTTGAAGTCAGAATTAAAATTTTAGAATATTTTAAATTTAAACTCCAAACCCAAACTCCCTGCCATCGAGTGGATGCCGACTCACAGGGACCCTGTAGGGCAGGAGAGAACTAACTGCTCCTGTGAGTTTCTGAGACATACCTCTTCATGAGAGCATGTCATGTTACTTTCTTTAGAAGTGGCCCGGTGTTCAAGATTATAATTCCTAATGATTTGAATAACCTAAGTGGTATTTTCTCCAATCTGATTTTTTTTGGGGGGTGTATGTGTGTGTTGTCAGCTATCTAGGGAAATATGTACATACGTGCCTTATAAAAGTCAGCTTTAACAGAAATTTAAATATCTAAATTATTCTAGCCAATGTTGCTTGCTATTAAAATAAAGGTGACAAAAGAACAGGCAGGACAAAAATATATCGTGTTTTACAGCCTCTAAAGTTCACAGTGCGTATGTAGCAGAGCAGGCAGCTAGAGGAGGACTAAAAGAAACTGCCTCAGGAAATGGATCTAACAAATTGTATTTGTATGCAAGACTGATGAGCAACTGTCAGAAATGGATGTAAATTCATTAACGTTACAGTTTATTGAAGTTTTGATTATGTTGATGCTGCCTGATCATCCCCAGTAGACACATTATTTCTCTCACAAATGAGTGCATCAAAGTGTATTCATTTGGGTGATTTGCTGCATTTGATGCGTATGCACATCTTCAGTACTTGTAAATGGCTCTGTCAATAAATGTTCTAGAAAGAATTAAGTACTGTGATTCATCAGCAGATGCTTATGTCTAATCTTAATTTCCTCCATAGTCCTGCATTTATAAGATGTATTAACAAAAGCCTGACGTAGATAAAATGCTAACAATACCTACAATACCTGACTTACACCTGGTTTATCATAATGTGCACACACGTGGGTTAACTATCCCCTTCCCTTTTTCTATAATCGTATGCTCTCGATGCACAAAATCCAACAGTTTGTGGGGAGGGAGGAACAGAGAGAACTACCGTTTTCCCCTGAGTTGATCATGTGGTCGTCCTATTTTGTCCAGTAGAGCCTCTGACAGCGTCTGTCCCCCAGCAATGCCTGACTGTCTAGTCCTTGCTGCTCTCAGTGGCTGTTGAGTCAGCGCTGACTCCCTGTTGGTGACCTAAGTATATAGAACAGAGCAGCACCTACACCCATGCCATCTGCAGGATCTTTGTTGTCCAGGAGTCCACTCGTTGGCTATTGTGTCCATCCATCCCCTTGATCCCTGCTGTTCTTGCCGCTAAGTTCTGTCACCTCTGTTCCAGCTCCTAGCGACCCTGAGGTGCATTGGGATACCCTGAAACGCTGCCCGGTCATGCACCACCCTCACAATTGTGGTTGTGGGTCGGCCCCTTAGTGCAGACACGATGTCCGTGCTGACTTTTTTGCTCAGCCTCTACCAAGTGATGCATCCTTCCCTAGGGACTGGTTTCCCGGCGAACATGTCTTAGTATGTGAGATGAAGTCTCACGGTCATTGGGCCCCAGCCCCTTAAGTCTCACCCTTCTGTGTTTTCCCTCCTGTTTGCAATCCAGTCCAGTTCAGCCTGGCCACGCATTTCAGTCCAGTCTACATTGACTGAGCACCGATTTATTCTTGTGCTAAGATTGCTAATGCTGATACAACATGGCTTTTGCTCCCATGGAGTTGATCATGTGGTTGGGGATAAGACACATGAAAGGCAATTTTCAAATTATGCGGTAAGAACTAAGGTAGCAGTTATACATAGGAAATAGCCAGCCACCTAACAAAAGTCTCAAAAACATTGAGAAATAAAAAATAATAATAATAACAGCAGAGAGGGTAGGGGAGCTTCAGGAAATTTGAAGAGAGTAACCCATCAGCACATGTTGAAAGCCAAGCAACAGAGTCTAGGTAGTTCAGCACCAACCATGGTCAAGCCTGACTGTCACAGAAGTAAGCCAGGGAAAGTCTCCTGTATCTAAATGCCATTCTTCCTCTGTTCTGCATGCTGGTAAAAGTAGGAGAGCTATTTATTATCATTTATAAAATAGTCATTTAATCCAAATCTTCCGTTCTCGGGTGCGCAAACCTTTCTACCTTGTGGCTGCTGGTGCTCTGCGCGTGGCTCACAGGTGTGCTTTGGGGCTGACCCCTTTGCCCCACAAGCTCTCAGACCCACAGTCCCCATGAACAACCTGCCCACTGTGCTCTGGTGGGTCTCCCATGGCATGGAAAAGCTGGGAGGGGCTGCGCTACAATGGATGCTCTACTCTTGCTGGGGTCCCCGGCAGTCCTTTTGAACCCTGTGCCAGTTCTTCGGCATAAGTAAGAGCTTTGTGGAGGGATTCTGAAGACAAGTAAGGCTCTCTAGGAGTGAACCCTTTTTTCTAAAGCCAGCGAGATCCTTCTTAGGCCTCCAATGAGGAGCAGATTTCCAAAGAATGCCTTTCAGCCGCTAGTAGTTGATTGCCTGCCCAGCAGGAGGAAACGAACACTCCCAGCACACGTGTGTATTGTCAGGAGTCACGGCCTAGTGAGTAGCGGACACGCAAGGCACATAAACTCATAATGCATCCCACTCACATCCACTGTTGTATTTATTTGTTGTAGTAACACCCATAGCAGGGGCCCTGGGTACGCAGGGCTCATGGGGACAGGACTAGAGGCTTCGTGTGCCAAGTGAGCTACCTTGCAGAGTTTGTAGTTTGTGAAAGACCTGGTTGGTGAGGTTAGGACTACATGATGTCATCAGTTCTCTGGGGAGGCAGCATGGCGTGTTATGTCTTGTCACCCCAGGGACCACATTGTTGAGACCGAATTGTGTTTTCTGGTTTCTTTTAGCGTGGCAGTATAACTTTTGTAAACCAGCACCTTCATTCATCACTGTTAACTAGGAAATACTGTGATTTTGAATGCCTCTGGAGTAATAGACAATGTACTCCAGTAATCTTAGTCACGTTGAATTTTTAATTCATGTTGTCTCCTGACTACATGACGGTCTTGAGTGATAGGCTTAGCTGTCCCGAATCCTCTATTTGCCTGTCGTCTTGTAATTGTGTGGGCGAAGAAACAGAGGTAGACTCTTGGCCCTTTCTGTTTCTAGGGAAGGGGCTCCCGTGCACCCAGAACCGCTGCAGATACCCCCCGGTGTCACCGAGCAGTTCATCGATCTGTTGTGCCAGTTCAGCCCACACCAGGTGATAGAGACGCTGGAAGTCCTGGAGTGCTACCGCCTGGAAGAAACGATTCAGGTAAGTCCAGCGAGCTAGAGACGATGGACGGAAAGGTTTCTTAAACTACCCCATTTTACAGATGAGAAGAGAGAGACTCACAGGGCAAGGTATTTGCCTAAGTTTATAGTTAATGAATGGCAGCACCGGAGATGAAGCCCAGCTAGCCCAACTTCATAGTGCATGCTCTTAATTGCTGTGATAACCTGCTTCCTCGGTTGTTAAAGTCTGAACGATCCATGGTCATCATTGCCATCAGTCAAGCTCTTCGAGAAATTCTCTAGCCAATTCCATACGCCTAGAAAAAGAAAAACAGTGAAGCTACTAGAAGGACAGCAGGCTCATGTTTGCAGACAGCCCTGCTGCGCCAAGAGGCTCAACAGGGTCTGTCTTGATTTCCTCTGTGTTCCTCCTTCCAAATAGAAATATTGTCAGCTACTGTAGGAGTCTAGTATGCCTTTCCCTTAAAATTCATGTGTAAGCTACTGCTAGGCCCTAAAACCTGGGAAAGCTGGAACTTTGCGTGGCCGGAGCCTGTTAGAGAAGGAAAAGGAAACTATGTTCCACCGAGACAATGACAGAAAAGTGGCGACTGCATGCACCTGTCAGGAGGGCAGCCTGCTGGTCCTGGGGAGCTCTGGCTCTCACCGCCGCCCTGCATCACGCTGCCTGCCGTCACTGCCGACCCCTCGACACGATGACCGGTATCTTCAGTCCCACCTGAACTGCTCATAAACTGTCGAATATTTCACAGATACGAAGGGGCCCCCCCAAAACTGGAATTTTTTTTTTCAAAGCTATGTATGTAAATATTTTTACAAAACAACCTTATCACCTTCAAAGTACTCTCCATTACACTAAATACATTCATCAAATCTGCAATTCCATTCTTGGAAACATTTCTTCAAACTCATCTGTTTGAATGGCTGACAGCACCTCCCTCGTTTTTTCCTTCACTTCTTCTACAGCATCAAATCGCTGTCTTCTCATGTCCTCCTTCATTTGGAGAACCAAAAAGAAGTCACAGAGCGAGGTCAGCTGTGCGGAGCAAGAGAGGCAAGCTGGGTTTTGCCCAAACTGGCTCACTGGGATGACTTCATGAGCAGGTGCATTGGGGTGGCAAAACCAGTCCCCCGTCTGCCACAAATCAGCCCTTATTTGGGGCACACTGTTACACAATTTTTTCAGAGCCTGTAAATAGAAAGCTTGATGTATAGTCTGACCTGTTGAACCAACTCCAAATGCACTATTCCCCTCCCATCAACAAAACAAATGAGCATCTTCTTGATCTTTGATTTCATCTGTGAGATTTGTCTTGGTGATATACCTGGAACGGAATTGTTTAGACCAGGGGTCAGCAGACTGGCTCACAAGCCTTAGGCAGCTCTTTCGGGACGTACATGTACCTCTGAAGTAAAATAGAAATGAAAATGAAACGTTCATCGTTTCATTGATAAAATTCTTAAAGGATATCATTCAGATAATAATGGTTTCGTTTGTTTGTAAAAACATATTTGTGGCTCTCAAGTAATTTTTAAATTGTTGTGAAGGACAGCAATGGTCCTTCTTTGTCAAAAGTTTGCAGACCCCTGGTTTAGACCATAAATTCCCAAACTTATATGGTCTTATCACTATCTTTTCAGAAAGAAAAAAAAAGTACTCAGCACCCTTTCAGCCCCCGGCCATGAAAGCCTTTTGTACTCTATAACCCATATTCCAAGATACAGTGTAGTTAGTGTCTGCATTTGCAGCTCCCAGAGGGTAGTGTCACCCACGCTGGAAGCTCTGGTCTAGACAATCCAAATAAAACCTAACCAGACTCGTTGCCACTGGGCCGATTCTGACTCATAGCAACCCTGTAGGACAGAGTAGAACTGCTTCTGTGAGACCAGGCGTTAGAGGGGCTTAACTCTACTTGAGACTGCGAAACTGACCGCCGAGGTGTGTCTGTTCTCATATTTGAGATTTGCTGCCTTCCCACAGCTTTGCTAATTCCTATTATTTTCAGACTTTTAAAAAAATCATTTTTACTGGGGACTCTTACAGCTCTCATAACATTCCATACATCAATTGTGTCAAACGTATTTGTACATATGTTGCCATCATCATTTCCAAAACATTTTCTTTCTACTTGAGTCCTTGCTATCAGCTCTTCTTTTTTCCCCTCTTTCCCCTACTCTCTCACTTTTATGAACCCTTGATCAATTATATATTGTTGTTATTATTTCTTTTCGTATACTGTCCGTTGTCTCCCTTCACCCACAGTTCTGTTATTCATCCCCTTTGGGAGGGGGGCTATATATCCAACATTGTAATAGGTTTTCCCTCCCGGACCATGCCACCACCCTTATTTTTAGACTTAAAATAGCTTTTGCCAAGGTGATGGATATCACTGATTACTAATAACATCGAGCATCTTTCCAGTTGTTTAATGACCATTTAGGTTTTCTTGTCTCTGAGTTATTTATCCATGTTCTCTGCTCACTTTCATATCGAGTTTTTGTCTTTCTTGCATTGATTTTTTTTAGGGTTTCTGAATCCCTAATCTTTTGCTTATTATATGTGTTGATGAGATATTATTTCCCAATGTGTTGTGGCATGCTTTTCAAGTTGTTTCTTAATGGCTACTATTTTATAAAAGTTTTCCTTTCAGATTTAGTATTTTGTGTGTTCCTTATTTTCATTTCTATATTGATGGCATAAAGCATATTCTCTATACAAATATTTTACATCTGGGCTTATTACATTTAGGCATTGACTTTCTCTGGAATTTATTTTTGCAGATAAGAGAGGGATTTCTCTGTTTTTCCCACGTGAGTGGCAAGTTGTCCGTATTCTCTTTGTTAATGTTTAATGTCATGCTGTCACATGCCAGACTCACATGTATGTTTGTAGGGTCTCTGCTCTGTTCCTTCCATTATCTGCTTATACTTATGTAGTATCGTGTATTTTAATTAATATAGTTTAATGGTACAAAATAAACAATTGCTGTCAAGTCAGCTGGGATGTTAGGTGACCCCATGAGTATCAGAGAAGGCCTGCTCCGTGGGGTTTTCAATAGCTGATTTCTCAGATGTGGGGCAGCAGGCCTCTCTGGCTAACTTGTCTTACTCCATACCTCAACTGATACGTGTTCAGCATCACAGCAGTGTGCAAGCGTCCACTGACGGTTAGTGGCTGCATGGGTGGTACATTGGTGAGGAACCCAACCCAATCTCCCATTTATCAAAGGAAGAATCCTACCACCACCGAACCATCAATGTCCGCCACGTCTTGCTAAACAAAAACCCAAGTGCCAATGAGTTGATTCTGACACAAAGCAGACCCTATGTAGGGTTTCCGAGACTTCTAATCTTTTTTAAAAACCATTTTATTGGCATATCATTTACATACCATACAATTTAATACCCTAGTCATAGTAAGAAAAGTCCAATCATCACCACCATCAATTTCAGCACATTTTCTTCTTTCTCAGACTCATTGTTAGCTTCCCATACCTTCAACCTCCCCTGCAGTGCCCCTGCCATTCCCCTGTCATGCTTCAGGTCTTTGCAGGAGAGTCAGCCTCAGCTTTTTCCTGCAGAGTGGCTGATAGGTTTGAACCTCCAGCCTTACACTTAGCAACACAACGCCTATCTCATAGGACTCCTTCAGCCTCTTATTAGACCTTATGAATTTGGGGATCATGTTGTCAAGGTAAAACAAAAAACTTTTGCCCTTTCTATTAGAAATTCAGGGACAATTGGCCATCCTAGGGTATTAATTGTTCCCATTCAGAAATATGGTTGCCTTTTTAAAATTATATTTTATGTTCTTCAGTGAGATTTTATTGTAACTTTTCTAAAACTTTCTTGAACATACTTTCTTAAATGTCTTCCTGTATACAGTGTAATTTTTGTGAAAATTATGGTAGAAAGCCTTTTGAAAAGCCTTCCTCGAATTGACTAGTGTTGCTGTGTTGGAATGCTCCCTTCTGAGCGTTGTTTTAGATCTGGCCACAAGTTTAAGTTCTTTTTTTTTTGTTTTACTTATTTATTTATTAATTAATATTTTATTGGGGGCCCTTACGGCTTTTATAAGATCCATACATCAATGGTATCAAACACAATTGTGCATATATTGCCATCATCATTTTCAAAACATTTTCTTTCAACTTGAGCCCTTGATATCAGCTCCTCTTTTTTCCCTCCCTCCCCCACCCTCTCACCCTCGTGAACCCTTGATAAATTAGAAATTATTTTCATATCTTATACCGTCTGCTTTCTCCCCCCCAGCTTCCCCTTTCCTTCAAGGTATCACTACTTCCATTACTGTTCCTGGGGGATTATCTGTTCTGGATTCTGTGTGTCTAGGACTCTTATCTGTACCAGTGTACATGCTCTGGTCTAGCTGGATTTGTAAGGTAGAACTGGGTCATGATAGTGGGGGGGAGGAAGCATTACTAGAGGAATGTGGTGGGTTTCTTCGGTGCTATACTGCACCCTGGCTGACTCGTCCCTTCCTGTGTCTCTTCTGTGAGGGGATGTCTAATTGTCTACAAATGGGCTTTGGGGCTCCACTCTGACCAGCCTCATTCGCATCAATATGATTGTTTGTTTGGGCTCGCTTGATGCCTGATACCTGATCCCATCAACACCTCATGATCACACAGGCTGGTATACTTCTTCCATGTAGGCTTTGTTGCTTCTCTGCTAGATGACCACTTGTTTAACATCAAGCCTTTAAGCCCCAGAGACATTAGGTGATTGGCCTGAGTCCCACATCTGGTTAGTGGCATTCAAATCCAGGACCGAGTCTCACATCTGGTTAGTGGCATTCAAATCCAGGACCGAGTCTCACATCTGGTTAGTGGCATTCAAATCCAGGACCGATTCACACATCTGGTTAGTGGGATTCAAATCCAGGACGGAGTCTCACATCTGGTTAGTGGGATTCAAATCCAGGACTGAGCCTCACATCTGGTTAGTGGCATTCAAATCCAGGACCGAGTCTCACATCTGGTTAGTGGGATTCAAATCCAGGACACTAACTCCAGTGCCCCACCACCTTTTAACAAGTCATTGTTGTCCTAGTTGTGCTTGCCCTGGGGACCTCATTGTGTGCAGAGCAGAGCTGTTCCTGGGGACTTTCAAGGCTGCGACCTTGCAACAACAGATGGACAAGCCTGTCTTCAAGGTGCTGCTAAGTGGGTTGGAATCCCCTTTTGACTAGAAGCTAAGTGCTCTGTTTGCACTATCCAGGGACTCGGAAACTGCTACTAGTGGGAATTGAATGTTATCAAAGGGTTTTTCTGGATTCCTAAAATGATCCTATGTTTTGTTTCTCTTTTGATCTGCTAATGTGCTTAATTACCATGATGCTTCAAAAAGCTCACGAATTTTTTAAGTCTCCTCTTACATTAATATCGTTCTGTCGATGAAAACACAGCATGCCAGTTTTTGCCAGTGTTCAGTTAGAGTGCTTGCAAACAGTGCACGTTCTTTATTTGATCGGTGGCAGTGTCTCTCTGTCCTTGCCGTCAATCCTGTGTTTTGCAGATTGTCTCCGTTCGTACTAATGTGCATCTGCTGGTCTGTGGCTTCACTGTTATCCTGACAATTATAATGTTACTCCTTGTTATCATTGCATTTATCTGCCAGATACAATTTTGTCTGACCTATGAATCCTGGAGGATACTCTCAGTGTGTCCATTGCTTCCCGCCTGCCCTGTTTCTTGTTTCTTTTTCTAGGTCACATTGTTATGTACATAAGATACAGGATTGTTCCCTTCCTGGTGACTTTAAGGAGCCTTGGTAACAGTGGGCTAAGCATTGGGTTGCTAACTGACAGGTCAGCAGTTCGAACCCACCAGCCGCCCCAGTGGAGCTGTGGTCACTCCCTACCTCCCAGCCCATGCCCATGTCTCAGAAACCCATCTAGGCATTCAAAACCCATCTGAGTGCCACCAGTCAGGTTGCGAAGTTGTCATTTTGTTGTAACTTTCTTCTTCATTTCTAGCACCTTGAGTGTGTGTGCTATGAGTGCAGGTTTTAAAAAAATTGTTTCATTATAGCCTGTAAAACATATTTATGTTTTAGCAGCAGGAAGGTGCGTTAGCGCCTCTTAGCAATCATTCATAAATCATAATCCTTATATTCAAGTTGTCTTTCCTCAGCCCTTACCTTCCATGACCTCTTGTCGCATTAATGCATTAATAGCGTTCACTGTCTGGTCTTGTAAACTCTAGTCGCTGCCCCTTCACCCCCATAGTTTACACCCAACCTCAGTGTCCACAGTTTCCCTTCTGAATTCCCTGACTTTCTTATCCTTGTGCTCAGTGTCTGCTGCACGTGCTGTGGCCTCTCCTCTCTCCCCTGAGAGCCCACGTAAGCACATGGCCGCAGCGCCTTTCCGGGAGCAGCTCCCAGCTGTGGACTCTGGACCCCACGTGCAGTCGGTGCACCGGGGATGTGGCCGTGCAAACGGAGATACGCTGTCACTGTGAAATGCTCGTTGGATTTCAAAGTCTGCGTGTGCAAAGAATTTAAGTTATCTCAAGTTTAAAATATTGATTACAGGGTGAAATGATATCTTAGGCTTATTGGGCTGAATCAAATATACTTACTTGACATGTTTATTCTTTGTTTTTCAAATGTGGCCCCTCGGTGCCAGTGAGTCGATGCCGACTCCGAGTGACGCTGTGAGCCTGGATAGAACTGCCCCTGTGGGCTTCTGAGATTGGAGCTCTTCCAGGCCAGCATGCCCATCTTTCTCCCAGGAAGCAACTGTGGTTTCACACTGGACCTGGTGGTTAGCAGTTTGTTACCAGTACGCCACCAGAGCCGCACAACTGTCAATTAGATACACAATTCACCTGCGATTTATACCGGGCAGCTCTGTTCTAGTCCTGACCTCTCACCTGAGCCCCCTGGTTCCAGGATAGCCCCTAACTATCCCATCATTTTTTGCTCTCAGCTGTCGTCCAACACCTGTAATCCTTTCTGAAGACTGTTCCTGCTTCTCCTCCTCCGTCCCCCCTGTTCCTTTGTTTGACTCTTATTACTCTTACGGATACGAGATTATTTCCTGTGATTTCCATCATGCCAGCCTTGCTTTTCGTCGACTCCTCTTACTGAGGACTGTCTGGTTGCATCCCTTCTCGTTTTTCCTAGAGTACGAAGCCCGTGCTGACTGGGAAACCGGCTCTGCCCTCTGTCTGTCCGCCTTCTCACTCACTCCCTTTCCTACTCCCTGTCACAGCTGCTACGTGACTCATTCAGGGTTGTGCTACCAGTATGTGCCCTCCTGGGTGCCTTTGCTCCTGCCACCTCCTGAACTTTGAATGGGATTTTTTAAAGAAAACATTGCCAAGTGTTAGTCACTACTTAGTGGTCAGGTCAGCTGCTCCTACTTATGTATTGACCTACCCTCTCCGTCCATCCTGGTAGCAAAATAGCTTACTCACTGGACTGATAGTGGGCTCAGCAGTTCAAACCAACCAGCTTCCGATGGGAGAAAGGTGAAGCTTTTCTTCTCATGAAGAACCACAGTCTCAGGAGCCCATAGCCTCCTGTCTTTATAGGCTCGTTGTGAGTCGGAATTAACTCAGTGGCAGTGAGTGAGCTCCTGAAATTGCCACAGCTCTGACTGCAAGTCTCTTATAACACTTAGTAATGTCTACTTTATATAGTATTACTGTTATGTGTGTTACCTTTGCTCCAAGGGCTTCACCTCATTCAGGTGCATGCATTTTTTAATAAATCATGGGTAAAAAAAATGAATGAACTTAGTTCAATTAGAATTGCCAAGTGGGCCCTAAAAGTCCCAAAAGTCAAATATTTGCATATGGAGAATGTAAATGTAAAGTAAGGTTTTCTGAGGTGTGAATTATTTACCGAGTGAGGCTTTGTTTTGCTTTGTTTTTCATTCGTAATAGAATTATCTCACTCTACAAATAAGATCTGTGAACAGAAGTACCTCTCTCTTGTAGATAACCCAGAAGCATCAAGTTCATGAGGTCACGGCTTATCTACTGGAGAAGAAAGGAGATGTACATGGTGCCTTCTTACTACTGCTGGAGGTGACATTCTACTGGGGCTGGTTTGCGTGGTTTTCCATATGCCTCTATCCATTCACCAATCTGGTTTTCGTTTGTTATGTCTCAAAATAAGTTGCAGGAATTAGTACGTTTTATCCCAGAATATTTTTATCAACCACGTCATTGTCAATATTTGTAGTGATTCTTTTTTTTTTTTAGTAAAAATTTACTTTTTAAGTAAAATTTACATACAGCCTAATGCATAAATCTTAGCTGTACAGTTTGATGAGTTTTGACAAACCTTTGTAGTCCAAATCCCTAACGAGATATACAGTATTAGCATCGCCTGAGAAAGTTCCCTCCCGATCCAGTCAGCGCTTAGCTCCTCAGAGCCAACCACTCTGCTGGTGCCCCTGCCCCCCACCCCCACCCAACCCCCATGCTACGGAGGATTCGATTTCCCTTCTCTCTTTATTCGTATTAATGGACTCATCCAGTATGTAAAGCTTTTTTTGTTTAAGCAGAATGTTTGGGAGATTTATTTTTTATTATTGAGTAATATTTCGTTATATGAATATAGGCAGTCCCCAAGTTACAAACCACATCCATTCCTAAAGTGCGTCTTTAAGTCTAATTTGTAGGTAAATTCAAACAGGTGCGTATGGTGCTTCTCAAGCCTGGGAGCCTTTTCCATGATTGAAAAGCTGCCTGTGAGCAGCAAGTGGAGGTGATTATGATGAATAGTGGCAAGTCGGGGGAGCGCGGTGATTCAAAGAAGCAAGTGTGAGCTGTCTGTCAGTCTGATAGGGGACCAGGGAGTCCTTCGAAAAGTTTGTGGATAATGGAATTTTTCTACCCACTTTTTGAAGTTCCCACCTCTGTACCTGGGACTCCCTGTACTTGGTACTTGGGTCCCTCCACCACGGCCGGCTCTGCTTCCAGGTACACGGGGTTCTCTCCGGAATGGCAGCTAGAGGCCTTCCTAAGTAGCTTTGCTGTTTCTTGGGGGTTTTCCTTTAAGTACACTAGTTTAAATATTTGGTAGGTTAGAAAAGCAAAGCATTCTTTTCAGCTCTTTTATTCTTTTTACTTCCCAGAGGCTACGAAGTAAACTTCAAGAAATTACACATGAGGAGGAAAGTAAGTTTTGGGTTTAAAATTACAATTCTTTTCTCTGCTGGACCCTGTGTTTTGACCTCGGCATCTAATTAAATAGTAATTGTATTCATCCATCTACTTAATGGCTGTTTACCCACTTCAACAGTGATCTGAATTTTAGCCAGCTCTCACTGGATCCATAATGGGAAGTCACATTAACCATTGTGACTTCATCATGATAATTGCCCTGGTGTGAACTGTGTAGAAAATAAGCGTTTGTCGCTGTCAGTTATTATGTCGGTTGTGATCTGTATTGTGTTTTAGTTATGTGGAATTGCGGTATATAATGAACATTCTAAAAAGTTATTTTAATGTACTCGGCAGCAGCAAACCAGAGCATTGAGTCAGTAAATGAGCCAGTGTGACTATGACTGAATGTGTACAATTCTAGCCCAGAGCAGTAAAGCTCGGCCTTTGGGAATCCTGAGTGGCTATGTTGCACACAGACATAAAATTTTAATCATTCTGTACTCCTTGGCATTTCCAAATTGACACAGAGGTCAAGGAATCACTTCACAAGTGATTTTTAGATTTTATTAGTTTAATGCACCAATGTATTTCTGGGCCCCTTGGTCCACCTGTTCTACTAATCAACCTTTTCCCATAATTCTCTGAAGAGTGCTTGCTTATATATTTTGGTAGTTCCTGAATTGTCTCTTGTTTCTTGAGCAGCTGTCTTACACGAAGTATTTGGAGTCCCTAACCCCTTGCTTGGCTTTGCCATATCGGTTGTCCAACCAGACAGTGGATTATTTTAGTCTTGTCAGTATGTGTCTAATCAATTTAATTATGCTAGGTTTGTTGGTTTTAGGATATTGTTATTTTTCAACTTAGTGTTATGGGAACGATTTTTGCACACAATACAGGGGTTGAGAGGAGAGTAAGAAGGTCAGTCCCCCAAACTCAGAACAGTGATTGGCGGGTGCTGTATCTAGAGATACCAGGTCTCTGAATTTCAGCAAAGATGAATTTCCCACGAATAGTCTCATACACACCATCCACTCACAGGTGCAGTCTGGACAGTGTGCTGAAGGTGTTTTTGAAGACCCGGTCATTGCAAGGCACTCTGGTAGTTGCTGTGGGTTATGATGTGGGTTTTCATAGAAGACAGGCGCACAGCCCCCACCAAAGAACTGCAGTCTCCGAAGGAAATTGACATGCGACTAAGGGCGTGTTGTCAAAGAGGTACAAGGAGGGTGGAGAATTAGGAAACGACTTGTAACCAATAAGTCGGAACTAGCTCTGTGAACTACTCAGGCTGCAGGGTGAGTAGGAGTGTGGTAGGCGAGGGCCGAGAAAAGGCCTGAGCTCCGGGGACAGGTGAGCCTGGCACTGGCTGACCAGCAGCCTCCGGGAGAAGGGAAGGCTGGAGGCAGGTGCAAGGGCACCGAAACTCACTTCGGGCCCGCGGTTGACATCCATTCCATTTTTAAGCAACAGAAGTTTAAGGAAACACTGATAGCACAGGCCTTGAGGGGGCGAGGTAGAACTTGGACATCTAACTTTAACTGAGGCACTTGCAGTCGTGGTAGAAGCAGTGGGCATACGCAGTGGGCCGGTGGGAGTCCACACGTGGCAGTGCAGCTGAAATTGTGGGGTGAAGGAGAGGGGGCATCAGAGATGCTGAAACTTTATAGAGACCGACAAAGCTATGGGTCTGGGAGCGTCACTGAAATGTGGGTGGGGGAGCAGGTTTGGAATGAGGAGAGGAATCCGTTGAGTGTCCCACATAGTTCAGGATGCTTGCAGAACATCCGTGATATATGTCCCAGAGGCCGGAGAACAGTCAGCTCACAGCTTGTGAAAGGAATAAGGGTTGAAGGTGTAATGTTAAAGTTATTCAGCAGGGACAGGAGGATTGAAGTCACAAGTAAGGTGACCAGACGGCCCGCTTTTGGCGGGACAGTCCCAATTTTTGGCGTTTTTAAAAAGTCCCGATTTTTGGAAAGAATGCACAAGCTAGGGAATGGTCTATTTGGTCCATATAGACCAAATTGTTAATCAAGAACCCCCCGGTCATTGGTGTCCTGCTTTAAATCTGGTCACCTACCAAGAGTGAAAAAAAGGACAACAGATGCCCCGATAGCGATAGCACCCTGGGGAAATGCTTACTTCAAGGAACTTGGTGAAAGAGTAGCTCTTAGAGCGAGGTGAGGGATTGGCCCTCTGCTCCTAATGCACACAAGCAGACGACTGGGGCTTCTTTACAAGCACAGTGTGCTGGAATGCTGGGTATGATGTGCTTTATGTGTCCTCTGAATCTCAGAACTCCTGTTGCAGAGAATCATCTGGTTTTTTAATTCCGACAGTGTCAGAGCTGATGGATGATTTTATAATAAAGAACGAGCGCTCTGCATAGAAGAAGGACGCTTTAATTTTCCACAGAATTCTGAGCTGAGCAGTACTTTATTCTGTTTCTGCATCTAGATACGAGAGGGACACCCCCACTGAAGGATGTGGAAGGGGCCTTGGTAGAGACCATTGCTCTTTGCCAGAGAAACTCGCATAATCTGAACGAGCAGCAACGAGAGGTAAGAGGACTAGCTTGGCATTTAAAAGCCCGGGCTGGTCTGAAACTAGGAATTAATTCTATTTCCAATGCCCTCTCAGCCACCTGAGTTTAATTCAACTGGATTTTAATCACTGTTTAGAGCTCCCAGGGGAACAAGACTCCTGAAGTTATTCTGAGCCTGGCCTGCTCTCTTTGTTCTCGTGCAAGGCTTTGTGGCCTGGGTTTGGCTGGGCTGCAGAACCTCTGGGGCATGCCCAGCAGATATCTTCGTCCTCTGCACTGAGCTGTGTGTATTCAGTGTAGTGGTTCTGTGCGTCCGTGGTCATTTATCACCTCTTTGATTCCTTGTGGAGGAGGGCGAGCAGGAAGAAGTGGAGGAGGCTCCGGGGGACAGGGACAGCTGAAAAAGGGTAGGGGAGGCTGTGGTGGAGCAATTCTCAGTGGGGGCTGCCCATCACAGTCACCTGGGAGCACCGTAAACCCCCAGAGCACAGGCTGCTCCCCTGACCGATCAGACTCCAAGCTCTGGAGTAGCAACGCGGCCGTCCGCATCTCATATCAGCCTCGTTTCCAGTGTGCAGCCAAGGCTGGGAACCAGTGCTGTAGCTGAGCCCGGGCTGCAGAAGGGGGGAAGAGCTGATGATCTAGATGGGGGTGACAGTGCTAATGCAGAAACGGAAGGGTGAGATGTGATTTGACAGCTAAGTCCTGTAGCAGTTTCCACAAGTACAGTGTGGTCTGATATAACCTAAGTGCCCTTTCAGGGCTCAGGCCTGCAACTTACATCTGACCTCTTTCTGCTGCCGGGGTTTCTGAAATGAAAAGCAGCCGTCGCTTGTCACATATATAGCCATATATGATAGATGAAAATATTAAATCTTGGTGTCTTCTCTTATCTTATGAGATGGATATATTTCTATTCCTTTCAGATTTACATTTTTGTCTAGGAGTCCTCAAGGTTATATGTTATGAAAACCCCTTAGAAGAGAAACTGTGTATAACAAATACATGTAAATTTGTATAACAAATTGTATATGTACATGTATAAATACATGTACATTTCTATAACAAATACATGTAAATGTGGATGTGATTCCCTTTTTTTTTAAAAAAAACACCCTATTTTCGTGAGGTGATAGTTATTATTTTAAAAGATTATACAATACAAAAAGCTACCTCTGGATCTTAAAAAATTACTCTATCTCCATTCCTACCCAGACATAATCATCATTCTCATTCAGTGACCATCACTGCAGATAGGTGTTCTCTCTCAAACTCACCGCCATCAAGTTGACCCTACAGAGCAGTAGAACTGAGAAGAACCCTGGGCGTCTGAGACTGCCATCCTCTACCGGAGTAGAAGCCACCTTTTCCTCCCGGGAACTGGACGGTCGTTTCAGACTATTAACTTTGCAGTTTAGCAGCACAACACATAACCCACTAAATTGGACCAGACAGTGTTTGCTTCTAACAATAAATACAGTATAAAATTAATTTAGGAAGCTTACATAAAATGAGGAATTTCTAAATTTTAGATAAATGTATCTGTAGTATCTCTTAATAAATCTCTCTAAAGTAAAAAACTGAATAAATTTAATAGCTTAGATTTACTATGTTTAATTACTATGTTAAATAATTGCTTTCTGGTGTTTTTATCTGTTTCACATGCCAATAATTCACATGTTCCTATACCTAATCCAACCTCTGAGTCCCTTCCCTCCTAATTTTAATTAGTTACATTACTATTTGGCATCATCAGGTTTGTAACAATTACATTTTGTACCCATAATTCCCATAGTTACGTTAAGGGACCCCTTGAAGATATTTAATCTTCTGATGAAACATTTAAGGAGTTATTATAGATAGTTCATTATAAAGCTTTGATACAATTCATGTTTTCCGCCTAGTCTAGGGTTTATGGCAAATTTCAGATAAGGACAATTGCTCTTGTTCTCTTTCTTCTAAAATAAAACAAGGAAAAACACCATTCAAATCCCCAAATTGAGGTACAGTTTTATGTCATGCTTGGTTAAGTAGGGAGCAGACCAACAAGCGGAAGCCCCTGGAGAGGTGACTTGACACACAGTGGCTGCAGCAGTGGCCTCGACATACCAGGAATCTGCCAGGTGACGACGCCAGACCAGCTGGTGCTTCATTGTTACATTGAGGGTCACGGAGCCGGGACTAGCCCAATGACAATGGTAACAACAGCAATCCCTAAAACCAATCTGGGATGTTCATAGAAATAATATTTACACAAGAAGACATTTGCTATCATTATTTCTGGTCAGAAACACAGCAGAAGCCAGAGTTGTTGGGCCGATTAATAGAGAGTGTAGTGTGTGTATGGGAGGGAAAGAGACAGACAGACAGACTTCTCTTACAAGCAGCCAGTAAACCAGTAGAAAGAGTATTAAGGAAGTGATACATTTAAAGGCTGGAACAAGATATGTCATATCTTTATTAAAGCAAACAGATCCCAACTCAGACACAATTGTGTTTTTATTCTTTGGGGGTTTTTTTTCCTTGTCAAAAAAGACAAAATACTTTTTTCTTTTTCCTCCACCAAAGGAATCCTTGTTCTCGTCTCTATGTGAAACCGAATTTAAATATAGCCAGAATGATTCCCTAGAGATCTAAATTTTATACCCTTTATAAAATCTATTATCCATTATATCCATGCTGCCATGAAATCTGGACATGCCTCAGCTTATTCTATTTATAAACTCTGCTACTCTTTTCTTAAGCTTTCTTAAACTCATCTTTTCTTAAATTTTCCATGAAGGAAGGAAGAGTATCACATAGATAATCAGAGAGAGGATGGGAGTGTTAAAAACAAACAAACTAGTCTCTATGTTAAATATGTTTAACTCTCATAGGTCAAGAGTAACTATGCTTTTAAAAGCAGGTAAATTTTCTCACTTTGAAAGATCAAAGGCAAATCCACAAACAGATGCACGTCAGAAGGTAAAAAATGCTTATGCCGTAGACAGCTAAAGGAACCATGAATTACACAGAAACAAATGGTGTGATTTAGGGACAAGTCAAAATATCAATTACTGTGAAAGATAAATGAAACAATACAATCTAAGAATAAAAAGATTAAAAGTTCATAATTAGTGGACAAAATAAAGACTAGCCAGTAGATAACACTTAAAACTAATACTTTAAAAACCTACGGAGTTGCTTAAAGAGGCAGCAGCATAAAATCCTAGCCTTACAATAGCTCCAGTGAGGGCAGTCCCTGGTGGGTGCCCTGAGTCGGGCACGCAGGTAAGTGCTTGAAGGTTGGGGATTCAAACCCACCCAGAGGTGCCTTGTAAGACAAGCTTGATGATCAGCTTCCAATGATCAGTCTTAAAAACCCCATGGAGCAGTGCTGCACTACACACAGGTTCCTTAAGGCAGAATCTCCCGGATGGCAGCTAGCAACAGGCCAAGCCCGTCAGTGGCGGCCTCCCCGTGGGGAGACACGCTAGCTCCCTAGCGTGTTCCCTGGGCTGTAAACACCTCCCTTACCTCTGTTGCCAGGCAAATTCCGCAGCCCCAGGTGGCAGAGTAGGGACCATGCCCTCTTTTGTAAACAGTCTTGCTTGGTCTGCTCTCTCAGCTCTTCCTGTCTCCTGGATGTTCCCAGCAATGGGTTCCTCCGAAGACACTAGGTTAGAGCCTCTATAAATCCTTCCCCAGCATAAAAAATGCATGTTTGAAATGTGAAAATGGATTGCTTTGATTTTTAATAATAAGGCCTTGTCCTCGGGCTTTGGAAGAACACAGAATTTAGAGTCAGACACAGCCTATTTACTGGCAATGAACACTGGGAAGTTATTTCTCTAGACCTTGGTTCCTTATTTCAATTTGAGATAATCCCTTCTATAAAGGTTTATGATGGCACGCAAATGCAAAAATATAGGTAAAGCATTTAATGTAATGCTGGACACATCCAAAATCCCAAACTCATTGCCCGCCAGTTGATTCCAGCTCATAGCCACCCTACAGGGCAGAGTAGAACTGCCCTTTGCTTTCTGAGACTGTAATGCTATGGGAGTAGAAAGCCTCATCTCTCTCTCTGTGCACCTGGTGATTTTGAACTGCTGATCTTGCACTTGGCAGCTGTGTCACCTCCTACACCACTGGAGCTCCTGCCTGCTTTGAATGACTTCAGAAATATAAAATAATGTTTGATAGAGGGAAGAGTATTGGGATGGCCTTTATTAATTTACTAAGGTTATATAGAATTTTGTCAGTGATACAGTTGTACCAGAGTATATAATGAGGCTTTCAAAAAGGATGTGTTAGTCTGGATAGATAAATTCATAGACACTCCTATGTGTATATGAAAGAGCTTTATATAGGCAATTGAATATTGAGAAAACATCCCAGCCCAGTCCAGACCAAGTCCAGAAGTCTGATAATAGCCCATATGTCCAATACCAATCTACAAATTCCTCTTCAGACTCTTGAAACAGATTCAATGATGCTGAATGCAAGATCACAGGCCAATGGGTGGAAAGTCTTGTGGGTCCAGTGGCAGTAGAAGACGTGGGTCCTCCAGCTCCAGGGCTCTAGCATAGCTCCATGTATCTTGTCAGAAGGAATGTCTCGCAGGGAGTGTGAGCTATTTTATCTCCTTAGCACCTCCAAATGAGATCATCAAGCTGCGACCTGATTGACAACCTAGACTCCACCCCTCCACAAGTTGACACCAGATTATGTAACTGCCACAAAGGACATGGGGAATTTCTTCTTTTTTTTTTTTTAAGTATCATTTTCATAAACTTTTGAAGCTCTCTTACAGAAGACCTAGCAGAAAGCTCTGCCATGGCTCCTGTGGCCCTGCCCTCGTCTAAGACACACAAGCTTGTAGTTCCAAGGCCTTGACTATGTAACTTCTCCTGCCTGGCGTCTCCCAAGCCTAGATTGTAAATTGACTTGTTATAGCTATGTTCTCTCCTTCTGTGGGTGTTTGTACGTCTTTTCTTCCCCCAGTGAAATGCTTCCTTCTTACAACCTTTCCCAACAGATGTATGTAGAAGCACATTTCAGCCTGACAAAGGCAGCTACCATCTGATTGATGGTGGCCTCCTGTTTGTCACTGTAGAACAGTATCTCTGGGATTTTAATAATAATTTTCTGAAAGTCGACCACCAGGCCTTTCTTCCGAGGTACCTGTGGGCAGACTCAAACTGCCACCCTTCCAGTCAGCAGCACAGTGCATTAACCATTTGCACCACGCAGAGGCTCCATGCCGGTGTTGGTGGTTAGCAGTAACATAGCACTTTGGTTCTTCTCTCCTCCCTGTGCTGTTGTAGGCCCTCTGGTTCCCATTGTTGGAGGCAGTGATGGCCCCGCAGAAGCTCTCCAGCTCAGTTGCACCTCATCCACACTCTGAAGGTAAGTTCATCACAGCGCAGGTCCACCTGTCACCCACCCAATTTTTAGCTGCCAAAAATTACCATTCTGGTGCTTTTCCTTAGCATCATATCCTTATTCTTTTCTTACTGAGCCTGTATTTGCTGGTCTCACGTGTTCGTGTTTAATTCTTTCTATGACACTAATTATGTCATTCGTCTATGCTACTTTATGATAAATATATCAAACTGGCCTTGGCTAGCTAAGGTTCTAAGAAGCTATGTAAATTTGCTGTTTTGCACTGACTTTCAGGAAAAACGGAAAACTCTTATTTGAAGCTAACCTTAATGTTACCCTTTTATCTTACCAGCCCTGAAGTCTTTAACCATGCAGGTTCTAAACAGTATGGCAGCATTCATTGCCCTTCCATCCATCTTGCAAAGAATCTTACAGGTGAGGAAAAGGGGGGAAATATTAAAGGTTGCATCATTTTAGCTAATAGTGTAGTTATCTATAAATAACAGCAAATTCAAGCTAATGTTTAAATCGGGCTCAAGCATTATGCTGGTAAATTTCTGCATTCTCTGGAGACCTAAATGGCCCTCATTCGTGAGTCCCCCTGCCCTCTGTTGGAATGGGTTTGCCGGCACATGCCTGTGACTTGCAGTTACAGCGTGCCCCCTTCCTAGCTCACTCTCAGCTTGGGCTTCCAAGAGATGAGCTGCCTACTGTGTGCTTCCTGAGAGAATTAGCACTGGTTGTGATTTTTAAACTTCACAAGCATAGGTCACTTCTTAGGTTCTAGATCTCGTCTTAAAACCTTTATGATCAAGACTCATCTCTTAAAATCTAGCCAACTGTGTGTTCAAAGCCATTGTAGGAAACTCCATTCCTGCTAGTTCTCTTTTGCAAAAAGCCTAATGTTTCCTACATTATCAAAGAGAAACTGTTTTGTTTTTTTTAATCATTTTATTGGGGGCTCATACAACTCTTATCACAATCCATACATACATCCATTGTGTCAAGCACATTTTTACATTCGTTGCCCTCATCAGTCTCAAAACATTTGCTTTCTACTTGAGCCCTTGGTATCAGCTCATTTTCCCCTCCCTGTTCCCCCCTCCCTCATGAACGCATGATAATTTATAAATTATTATTTTGTCATATCTTACACTGCCCAACGTCTCCCTTCACCCACTTTTCTGTTGTCCACCCCCCAGGGTGGAGGCTATATTAGATCCTTGTAATTGGTTCCCCCTTTCCACCCCACGCTCCCTTCACCCTCCCAGTATCGCCACTCACACCACTGGTCCTGAAGGGATCATCTGCCCTGGGTTCCCTGTGTTTCCAGTTCCTATCTGTACCAGTGTACATCCTCTGGTCTAGCCAGACTTGCAAGGTAGAATTGGGATCATGATGGGAGGGCCGCGGAGAAAGCATGTAAGAACTAGAGGAACGTATGTTTCTTCGTTGCGACCCTGCACCCTGACTGGCTCGTCGCCTCCCCCGTGACCTTCTGTATTTTCAGAAGGACTTGTGAAATTCTGGGGATCATCGTTAGAATTGTACTCATAATCCTTTTTGTCTTCATGCACCTTTTATTGTAGCGATGCAACAATATCTGACCGTGTTATGATGCCGTTGGTCTCATTTTCTAATGATTTGTATCCAATGGCAAAACTACCGGTCTTTTAAGACTCTCCCAGCTCTGCATCCTGTCTGGGTCTTTCCTGATCCGTCTGTGCCTAGTAGTCCCTGTCGTGACATAGAATACTGTCCTTAGAATGTCTTTGTACACATATTATCTCATTTGAGCCATAGTAGCTCTCATGAATAATTTGTTGATATAGACTACTTCTCTTATACCCATTTCAAAATATCTTAATCCTGAGGTTTTTAATCATACATGATGTAATATCTCCATAAGGCAGGAATGTTTTAATTTACCAAGTAAATTAGAAAAGAATTGAAGCCCTAGAGCTAAAGGCAAGTTCTCTCAGTATATACGTTTTGCTTTGTGTTAAGCTTTAACCATAAATTGTGAACATGTTATAACAAATAAAAACCTCTTTTGCCCTTGGCAAAGCACATGAACTGTGTGTGTGTGTGCGTGCGTGCGCGTGTGCGTTTAGAGTTATGCTGATGGTACTCATTATCATTTTCTTATTTTCTACTTTACCTAGCTTTTAATTTCTAATAATGAGTAGTGTGTGCTCTTTTGGATTCTCTTGCTTGCACACGTGACTGTTGCAGTCCTAAACCCACCGTCCCTTTACATTAATATCTGTTTTCTCACGGTGCTTCCGCTGGAGCTGTTGATGTTCAGGAGACTCCAATTCAGAGACGTCTAACTGCCCCAGGGGGGTTCCTAGGCTGTAAATCTTTATGGAAGCAGAGGGCCTGATCTTTCTCACACACAGCAAATTGGGGGTTTGAGTTACCAACCTTTGATGGGCAGCCTGCTGCTTTAATCAGTGGGCCACCAGGGCACCAGCTAGCAGCTGAGCTCAAACTCACCTGCCTTTGAGCCAGTTTCAGCTCTTAGCGACCACATAAGACTGGATAGAACCGCCCCTCCAGGTTTCCAAGACTAAATCTTAAGTGAGGAGAAAGCCTCATCTTTCTCTCCTGGAGAGGCAGGTGCTTTTGAACCGCTGACCTTTCAGTTAGCAGCCCAACACATAACCCACTGTGCCACCAGGGCACCCACAGCTAGAGGCAGGTAGAATATTACCAAAACGTCTATTGGTGAAGGAGGAAACTATGGAGAACTTAAATATCTGGCCTGCCACTAGTGGCACAACCTATACTACTGCCAATGTCTGCCACCCTTAATTCATGTTCTTTCCTATTACATCATATAAGGTTTAGCCATATGATTCAGTCCCTCGTCTTTTGAGGATTTCAGCTCATTAATTATAAGTTACCCTGTTGGGTAATTGCACACTTTAATCATTTCAACCAGCGATTATTGACCACTCACTCTTTCCAGTATTCAGCCATATGTTAGATAAAAATCACAGGTCTCACCCGAAACAAACTCTCCTATGAGAGATTGACAGTGTTCTGATACAAGCCGCCCTGGGTCTCCAAGCAAGTGATAGTGAGGCCATGTGCTCCATAGCCCATGGAGAACGAAGTAATTGCCAGTTGTGCACTCCAACCCTTTTAGCCCAGAGGATTGCTGTAGGAACATCCGTGGAGAGCATGCTCTTACCCCTTGCTCCCGGCGACTGACCCAGGGTGGGACGTTGGGCGAGCCAGTGTCTTCCCCAGGAACTATTAGCACTGAACTTGAAGAGCAGTCGGTCTCTTCGTAGGTTTCTGGACTACACAAAAAATGAAGTTGAGGAGCTGACAGTGATAGCCCGTCAGTCACATAAGCTAGGACAGGGAAAAGACGTCTTCAGAGGGACGGAGAGAACAAAGCAGGCACCGAGGAGAGAGCAGTAGAGAAAGATGTGTGGAGAGGGGCAGAGAGAAAAGAGCAAGTGGGAAGGAGAGGCGACAGCCTGGAGAGGAAGTGCTGGTGGCATCTCACATGCTGGCTGTTAGGGCTTACCTGCATCCCTTTGCATGGATTCTTAGAGCACTGCAGTATCTCTGCAATCATCTTTCAATGTAAGACTGCGTGCGTTTCTGAAAATCCAACTAAAGGCGTGCCAGTCAAAGTATCTGTCCGCCACAGACGGGGGGATTAGAAAGGATATGAACAGGGATGCGTCTGAACTGAATGTTAAAGAGCTAAAGGAATCAGTGGCCGAAAAGAGATAGCAATATTCTACCAGCGTGGCCATACAAAGACTAACATGAAAGCGTGGTCTGTCTGGGGAGTGATAACTGTAAGCCTGTTTGGAACATATGTGAGAATAAAGGAGAGTCACAGTGCTGAAGTCCGAGACAGGCAAGGGTTGGGCCCTAAAATGCTTCATAAACCATGTTAAGGACTTTCAGTTTTATTCTAAAACTAATAACTTGCCATCCGTGTATTTTCAGCAGACTTTTAGAAAGACTACTCAGGCTACATTATAGAAGATAAACTGCAAGTGATCAAGGCTGAAGTCCGAGAGGTCCCTGGGATATCATAGGTCCTCAACGTTTGTGTGTGTTATCCAAAGTAAAGAAGAGAAGATGCATTTGGGAATCCCTTAGATGATAGAATCCACTGGGTCATCTGTTTAACTGTAGGGCAGATGAGAGAACCAAGTTAACCGTGATTTAAGGTTCATGTGCCTAATAGTGAGCAAGAGAGGCATACCGGACTCTGGTGTTTGGGGAAAGAGGGCAGAAGTGGAAATGTAAATTTGGAAGTTATGAGCAGAAAGTAATACTGGCATTTTTGAGACGAGGTAAGCATTATTAAGAATGAGTTCGTGAGACAAGCAGGGAGGCGAAGATGACATTGTAGAAAGCACTAAGACACAAGCCTGTTTACCTGTCTGTTTCTGCTGGACTACAGGGTCTTGAGAGGTACACTTTGCTTTCTACTCTAATTGCCATCACAGAGCCCAGAGGCACCGGGAATACAGTAATATGCATTCAGTAAATATTTCCAGAGTGAGTAAAAGCTCAGGATGGATTAATTCCACTTTTGGCTAAGATGAAGCAACAGAAAACCAGGTTTACCCTGCTATCTGTAATAAAAAATGGACAAAATATATGAACTCAAACTCACTGCTGTGGGGTCAGTGCCAACTGGAAGCGACCCAAAGGTCCTGCCCAGAGGACAGGGTAGAAATGCCCCCATGGTACTGTGAATCTTTACAGGAGTGGAAACCCCCTCACCACCGAGCGACTGGTGGTACTGAGATGTTGGCCTTGCAGTTAGCCACCCAGTTCGTAACCACTAAGCCGTTAGGGTCCTTACACAACTCGTGTTTCTGAAAGTGGGGTGGTTATCGCTAGATGGAGGCTGCAAAAGCAGATATCTACGCTTTCTTTAGATTATGGGCTATCAGACGAAAGGTTTTAGCTACCAGGAAGACACTGGGTAACTTTGTTCTGACAAGGGGGCAGTGGACCAGGTTTGGGAACCTGTGCACTCAACGTGTGATCACACAGGACAGCGATTCCCAAGGAGCAGGAAACAAGGTGAGCCTCTACCTACCCTATCCTGAAGGTCTTGAGAAGGAGCCCCGGGGATGCTGGGGGCTAGGTGTTGGGCTGCTAACCACGTGCTTGGTGGCCTGAACCCGCGAGCCACTGGAGTAGCGGGAGAAAGCCTGCTCCGTGGTAAAGATCTGCAGCCCAGATTTGACTCCGTGGCCATGGGTTTTCTGTGGTTTCGTTTTGCTTTGTTTTGTTGTAATGTTGTCAAAGAGTTTTCAGGCCAGTAGGGGGACCCTAAGCAGTATCTCGCATACTTCTGCATTTGAGGAGGTGGGGTCAAGAGGTGACCACAGTTTGCAGGGCAGGTACCAGGAGAGAACTACAGAGAGAGATTACAGAGATGT